TTGTAGGCGTACAGACATTATCCTATCACTGACAGTGCTGTACTTTAGTATAGATCTTGACACATTTTTTTTTTTTTTTTTTTTTTTTGAATGTGGTAGAAATGTACACAGCCAAGCATTTGCCCATTCAACAATTCCTACATGAATAATTCAGTGATATTGATTACATTCTTCATGTTGCAAAACCATTTTACCCCTTTGCAAATGATTCCACCACCATTAATATAAACTCAAGGTCCCCTACACCAAACACTTCCCTTTTCCCCCTCCCTCCCACCCCTGCTGACCACTAACCATCTTTGGTTTCTAGATATTTGCTTATTTCTTATAAATGAGATCATAGAGCATTTGTCCTTTTGTGACTGGCTTATTCTACAAGGTTCTTCTACACTGTAGCACACAGCAGGACTTCACCCAGAGAAAGGTCTTGAGGGGGCCTGTCAGGGTCAAGCAGGAGCTCCTAGGACTGTCCCCAGTGTGGCCTTGGTCAAGCCCCCAACCCCTCTCTGAGTCTGTTTCCTCTGCTCCAGCCTCAGAAGCTACTGTGTATGTGCTAAGCCTGTCACACCCATTCTCTCCCTGAATCTACAAGTCAGTCTCAACTCATAGCGATCCCTCCTTGGGCTTCTGAGGCAGTATCACTACAGAAGTAGATTGCCCAACCTTCTTCCCGAGGAGTGGCTGGTGGGTTTGAACCGGCAGCCTTCTGGTTAGCAGTCAAATGCCTTAGGCACTACGCCACCAGAGCTCCTAATCTACAAGGTAGGCTCTGGTATTAGCTGATGCCACTCCTCGGAAGGAAGGTTGGGCAATCCTACTTCCGTAGTGATACTGCCTCGGAAACCCAAGGAGGGGTCGCTATGAGTCGGGGCCAACTCAACGACAAATAACAACAACAACAACAACTGGTAGCATAGTGGCTAAGGCACTTGACTGCTAACCAGAAGGCTGGTGGTTCAAACCCACCAGCCACTCCTCGGAAGGAAGATGGGGCAATCTACTTCCGTAGTGATACTGCCTCAGAAACCCAAGGAGGGGTCACTATGATTTGGTTTTGACCCGACACCAAATAAAAACAACAACAAAACCCTTAGATGACCGGCTTAAAAGCACACAGCTGGTGGCAGGAAGCCATCTCAGGGTGTGGCAGAGCTGGGACTTGAACCCACACCATCTGACTCCTGTAATGGGTACATTCTGTGGACTGCTTGGTCCAGAAAAGGAAAGAGCTGGGCTGATGCCCAAGTCAGCCAAGAGATGAGTCAGAGTGGAGGCAGGGGCCAGGACCACTATGAAGTGGTACTGCCATGGCACCTCGTCTGCTCCTCTGGTCTGGAGAAGTCCCCAGGGCTTGCTGCACCAGCTCTCTCCAAACCCTCGCCACGCCCCCCACAGGCTCCTGGGAGATGAGAACCCCCTCACACTCACTTTACAGCTCGAAGAGGGAGACAATGGCCAAGGCCACACAGCAAGGTGGGATCTTCTACTGGAGTCCTGTGTCCCCAGCACACCTGTCCTGAGGCCACAGGCTGGCAGGGGCTCAGCTGCCAGGGCGCACAGATACTGGGACCTGGATGACCGACATCCTGGGGTCTGGGTGGGTCAAGCCCACTGCTGCTGCACTTTTTTCATTCATTCATTCATTTATTGATCTAATATATAGTGAGCACTTCCAACTGTGCCAGACACTGTCATGGACCTTGGAGTTTCAGCTGTAAACAAGACAAACATGGTCTCTACCCTTATTGAGTCTCATAGTCAAGGAAAAGGATGAAGAAGGGCTCCTTAGTGTGGCCCTCAATGCCCCCTGTAACCTGGCCAGACACCTGTTCCACAGGGAGTAATTGTCCCACCACCACCACCTCCCCTCGTCCAGATTTGGACTTACCTGCCATGTGTGATCACCCACAGCCTTGCCTCCTTCAGTGCCTCCCATGGCCCATTTAATCCAAGGTCTGGCTCACATACCTCCTCCAGGAAGTCTGCCCTGACTAACTTGGGGCAATGATCAGTGGGGGTGACTTGGTGTCAGCTCATGCCCCCACCAGGTTGCTGCCACTCTGGGTCCCCACTCTCCCCTGACTGACTGTGTGACCTTGGGCAAACCCTTCCACCTCTCTCTGTCTCCTCCCCATGAAGGGAGGCTATGGACCAGAGGGGAGAACCAGCACCCGCACCAGGCAGGGGTCCTACAACCACCTCCCCTTGGCCTCAGCCCCTGCTGGACCCCGTTCCTGCAGCCCCAGCCCTGGAACACCCTGTCTGCAGCCTCCCTGCTCTGGGTATAGCCAGGGAGAAGGCAGGGGCTGTGGGGATCCCCCTTGGGGATCACCCATGGGTGGGCTCAGCTCACAGGTCCTGAAAACTGAGTCCGGGACCATGCAGGGGCGGGGGGCAGGGAGTGTTGGAGGGAAAGCATAACCAGGCTCCGTGGCCTGGACACCAGATCCCTTGTTGAGCCAGGTAGATGTCGGGTGAGCAGGGACCCTGAGCCGTAAAAGGACACTCACAGCGGAGGAGGGAACCGGAGAAGGTGAAGTGTGGGGATGTGGGGATGGGGGGGTGCACCCATATATCTGCTCTGTAAGTCTCTGTCCCTGTGTTGTATGTCTGTGTATACATGCGTGGTGCTGTGTCTGCAGGTTTGCCTGTGTGTGTGGCTGTGTGTGAAGATCTGTATGTTTGTGAGGTGCTTGTCTTGTGTGTCTGTGACATGTTTGTTTTGTGTGTCCATGTTGCTGAATCTGTGTGGGGCTGTGTTAATGCCCTATGTGTCCTCGTCTATGTGCATTTATGTGCTGTGTGTGTACGTACCTGTCTTTGAGAGTCGCTATGAATTTTTATTTGCATTTCTGTGTTTTTGTGTTGACAGTGCGTGCTTGGACATGTGTGTGTGGGCCCCTCCTCACCATGTCAGGCTATGGTTAGGAGCCAGCCCAGTTGGCATGTCTGGTTTGGTGACTCACCCCTAATGTTGGGGGCCGTAGACCAGAAGGTCCCCACCAGCCGTGAGGCTCCAGGGCTGTCACTGGGTCCTGAGTCTGGCTGAGACACTGTGTCCCCCACCCCGCCCCCAATGCTCAAACCAGCTGGAGTCTCCCACATGCCACATGGTGCCCCAGCCAGCCTGTGGACAGCCCCCAGGCTGGCGCTCCAGACTGTGGCGGACAGCTAGGCCCCAGGGCCAGCAGAGCTGCTGCACGTACCCCACTAAGGAGCAGGGTGGGGCAGGCAGGGGTGGGGGCGCTGCTGGACTGCTGAGTTTGCCCCCCATGCCAGATGCAGGAGATGTTTTCCCAGCCGGGGCTGCTGCTATCTGTCTGGACTGTGCAACCTCAGGCAGCTCGGGCCCCTTCTTGGGGTTCATGTTCCTCATTTATAAAATAAGGGGGGGGGTGCCGGCAGAGCCACTGCATGCAGGTGTGTGGTTGTGCACTGCACAAACACACCAGGCTGAGAGAACAGAGATGCTAGGACCAGCCCAGGTTCCACCTGACAGCCTGGGGCACCTGAGGGAAGGGCATGCCTTTTTCTTACACATTAGTGCATTGGATTGTACTCATGTGGGGTGTCCACCTAGGGGGGGCCCTAGTTCTAATGCTCACAAAAGGTGTGCCCTCCTGTGATGGTTTGGCTGGAGGGAGGGAGCACCAGCCTTTGGGCCCAACCTCCAGCCCTGCCCCCATCCAGGGGTCCATCCTAACTTTCCTCTGTCCCTCTCCAGAGACAAATCTCTGCTCCCACGTCTGTCCCTTTCTTTCAAGCCCTCCAGTGTGAGACCAGAAGGGCCCCTGTGTCTCGCCTTAATCCTGCCTCCATTTTATAGACCCCTCCCATATGACAGACCAGGCCACTGAGACCCAGAGAAGTGTGAGACCCTGAGCTCACCCGCAGCCCCTCTGCCTCCTGTCTCCCCTGCCCACCTGCCTGCCCTTTCTTCCTGGGGTTCCCCCCATCCACCCACTTAGCCCTGATTGAGCGCTTTCCTGGACAGGAGGGCCCCTTTACAAAAGGGGAAACTGACTCTCCAGGGAGTCATCCACAGCCCACCGGGGGTCAGAGGGGCTGGCCCAGCCTTCCCCACCCCTCTGTCGCCCCACCGCCCCTCATGATACCCTTGACAGTGATTGACCACACCACTCTGCCTGCAGCTCTTTATTCCATCCAGAAAGGAGCTGGGGAGTCCCATTGGGGGGGTGCCAACCTGTGGGGCACAGAGATGAGGCCTGAGGGGCTCCGGGGTGGTTCTGTGTACCCACCCTCCCATCCCCCAACTCCGGACCTGAGCGCTGGGCAGGACAGGGTCTGCTTGACTGAGAGTTTAGAAGGTGGGGCTATCCCACAATGGTGACCCCCACACGGGGAGCAGCTGTGGGCAGAGGTCCCCAGGCCGCTTACCCAGTCCTCAGCTCAGCTGGGCGAGGTGAAGCGACTGCTGTGAGGGGTGTCTCGGTAGAAGGGGTCAGCATAGGTCAGGGTTCTGCATGGGAGAGAGGAGGGCAGAGGAGAGTGAGGAGGGTGGAGCCTCACAGGGCTGCAGGGCTGCATCTAGTCTCTGCTGCCCCTCTTGCACTAACGCTGCCTTGGCCAAGCCACACAGGCTGGCCTGCCCACTCTGCACCAATATTCTATAAATAGAGAGTTTGTGGAATTGGAATGAATAGGGAGGAGTCAGACGTGGGGTGGGGGCACAGTCCATTCACCTTTGGAGGCCCTCTCACACACGCTGCCCAGCCAGGAGCCTGGGAGCCCGTGGGGAGCCAGGAAAGGTTTGCCTGAAGCCTGGGATTGGGGCAGGTGGGGATGGAAGAGGGTGTCCTTGCCAGCAGGGGAATGGAGGTGGAGACATGCTGGACAAAGCCAGAGAGAAGGGAACATGCAGGCAGGCAGGGGAAGGGAAGAGAGGCAGGGAACCGCCAGGAGGGGGTCTGGAGGCAGCAAAGATGGGGGGGGATTGAAGGAGGAGGACAAGGGCTGGGGGGTGCTACCTTCCCACGTGGGGGTGCAGGCACCGCAGGCTCTCCGTGGGGTTGGGGGTGGGCTCCATGCGAGTGATGGGCTGGTTGAGGGCATAGCCTCCCGGCTTCTGGGGCTGGACGCTGCCTCGAGTCCAGCCTTCCCGGTCTAGACCTTTGGGAATATTCTCGAAGTAACTGGAGTAGAGATAAGGAGGTTGCCATGTCGGGGAGGCTCAGTCTCACTGCCATCCAGACCCTGACATCATCTACACTCCACCCTAGCCTGAGACCCCACCTCCCAAGTACATCTCCATCCGGGCTCCTCTCGTAGCCGGTAGCCACAGCTGGTGCAGCAGCCCAGCCCAGCCCTCTGTGGCCTCCTAGCTACCGTCCCAGCCTCTGTCCTCACCCCCAGGAGGTATTGCAAAAGTACACCCCCTTAGTGAAATCTTTTGGGGACCCTCCAGCACACTACCAAGGATGTGTCCACAGTCGTGGCCCCAAGACTCTGCCCTGGCCGCGAGCTCTGGACCCTTCAGCCTCTCCAACCAACCTCTCTACAGCCAGAATCTTGGTTCCAGAAGTTCAAACTCCGATCCCATCTCTCCAGCCTTCTAACCTTTAACCTTGCCATCCTCTCTGCCTGGCGTGCCCGGAGCCCTTGTCCACCGGGCTAACTCACTCAGGAAGCCTGTCCCACCCACGCCCTTCCCCTCAGCTGAGTTCTCCATCCTTTGTGCCCTGTCCCCAGTCCAGCCATTTGGAACCTAAAGAACCAAGTGGTGTCCCTCCCCCTGGCCTCTGGGGTGTGAGGGAGACCCTGTCTGGATCACTTCTCTCCAGGCATTCAACTTCTCCGTTCCACCACTATTCGCTGAGCACTGGGCCAGATTCTGAGGATGAACCATAAGTAGGATTTGGGCCCACCTTGAGCTTACGAAGGGAGGTGCAGATAGATAAAATATGGAAGTCAGTGATGGCAGCCACTGGGGCTCTGGGGGCACCAGGAAGGACAGAAAGCCTGGCAGCTGGTGGGAGCGCTGGAAGCTCACGGAGATGGTGGGGAGGGACCCAAACAATGACCCCAGTTTTGGGGTCTGCTGGAGGTGCAGGAGGAAGGCATTTGCCTGAGGAGCAGGAACAGAGCTGTCTCCAATGTCCAGAATGCGCCTCTGCCCCTCCCCCTCCGTGGGAACAGGAGCTGGAAGCCAGGGCGCTGTGTCCCAGTCCCACGGCTGTGTGGTTCAGGGACACGCCTCTCCTGACGAAACCTCAGGTCCTTGTCCCAAAGAGAAGAGGGGTTCAGCTCAGAGGATGGCCAAGGTCCTTGCAGCTGTCCTCTGGGACTGCCCATGCACTGGCTGTCCCCTCTGCCCAGAACAGTCCTCCCTCAGTTGTCCTCATGGCTGCTGCTGGCCTCAGCTCTGCTCAAATGTCACCTTCTCAAGGTGGCCTACCCAGACCACCAACTGAACGTTTTAACCCGGTGCCCCACCTCACCCCTCTGGTCTCCCCTTACTTGGCTTAGCCTTGTTCCACAGAGTTTATCACCTCCTAACCCACATGGGGGTCACTGAGTGGTAGAAAATTGTGTCTGCCTCTTCTCCCTGTTCCGGTGTGACCTCTGCTAGGGGAGAGATTTTTTTCCTATCCCCAGTGCCTGGAACAGTGCTTGACGCCTAGTGGGCACTCAGTTAAAAATCTGTTGGATAGATGATTTCCATTGTTTCTGCTGCTAACTGAAAGGTGAGCAGTTCAAACCCACCATCCACTCCCCAAGAGAAAACACTTGGAGATTTACTCCCATAAAGGTTTCAGCCTAGAACCCTAGGGGGACAGCCATCTGAGATACCACTATTGGTCTCTAACTCATCTGGAGCAAAAGAGAAAGAAGAAAATCAAGGACTCAGAGAAGAAACTAGTCTACAGGACTAATAGTCCACACCAACCATGGGCTCATTTACCCCGAGACCAGAAGAATCGGCTGCCACTATGGATTGTTCTGAGCAGGGCCACAGTAGATGGATCCTGACAGAACAGGAGAAAAATGTGGAACAGAACCTCAATCTTTAAATACTTAATGACTCACTGGACCAGTTGATACTAGAGGACTCCCAGAGACCATTGTCCTCAGATACTCTTTAAACCTTGAACTGAAATTAACCAAAGGTCACCTGTGGCTAAGTAATAAATTGGCTCAAAAAACAATGAACAGCCCCTGTGAGTACTATGCTCCTTTGAAAAATCACAGATATGAGGCCAAATGATCAACAATTACTTTAAAACAAAGATGAGAATGTAAGGGGACAAAGAAAACAGATGGACGGAAACAGAACACCCAGAACAGAAATAACGAGGTGCTTATGCGTTACGAAGAATGTAACCCATGTCAGTGAACAAACTGTGCAGAAATTGTTGACTAGGAACCTAAACGCTGTGTAAACCTTCACCACAAACACAATAAAATATTTTTTAAAAAGCATAAAACAAAAAACCCTATGGGGCAGTTCTCCTCTGTAGGGCTGCTATGAGTGGGAATTGACTTGGTGGCTCACACCACCACCACCTCTACCCTGGAGCAGAGATGGGGAGAGTCGAGAGTGAGGAGACTGTCAGGGAGGGGGAGGGTTATCTTGCAAGACCCTGGACTTGCCTGACCGAGGAAGTACCTGTCCCTGAGGGACAGCCCTGAACTAATGGCTGGTGGCTGGTGGGATATAAGCACCCCAGCCCTCTCACCCTTGGCTGGAGGAATTCTGACTGAGTTGTACTATTTTCCAGAGTCTCCTCAAGGGTTGTGTGGCTTAATGAAACCCTGGAACTGGCTGCCATCCTTACCCCCCTGCCTTCCTCCCTCTTCCATAACCCAGTAAACTGCTGGCCCTCGAATCCGTGGCTCAGAGTGGGCTTCTGGGGGGGTTCCACACATTAACAGTTTGGTCTTCTCCACAAGCCTGTGAGCTCATGACTTTGATCTGTCCTGGCCTCAGGCTCCCTTTCTGTAAAATGGGTGTCACTCTCACACCCCCAGGTTTGGGCAGGGAAGGGGGCTCACTTTTGATTGTAGGTGGTCAGGTATCGATTATCCATATCGGGGTCATAGGGGCTCCGGACATAGCTGGAGTTGTTCAGGCTGTACCCCGTGGGCTCCTGCAGAAGAGGGTAGAGGGGAGATTGTCAGGCCAAGGGAGGGGGAGGATTAGGGGGAGAGGGTTGGGTCCCAGGCTTTACCTTGTTCCCCACTGTCTCCCGGCCAAGCATGGCAACGTTTGACTGTTGCATCCTCTGGGGTGGCTGGAATTGCCAGTGGCTCATGCTGCAGGGTTCTGAGAAGGTAGAGGGTGTCTGGAGGGGACAGAGGCATAAGACGGTGGCTGGGGTGGCCAGGATGGGGCAGCAAGGATGGAAGGAGGGAAGGTGGAAAGACACATAGCCCCAACCCGCCCCCAGCCCCATTCCCCTGATCCTTCTCCTTCCCAAAACCCAAACCCAACCAGTTGCTACCAGGTTGGTTCCCACTCATGGTGACCTCATGTGAATCAGAGTAGAACTGTGTCCACAGGGTTTTCAATGTCAGATCTTCTGGAAATAGAGCACCAAGCTTTTACTCCAAGGAGCCCTGGGTGGACTTGAACCGCCAACCTTTTGGTTAGCAGCCCAATTCACTATTTCAGAACAGATCTCTCACTTTCCAGGCCCCAGGCCTATAACTTCTCTCCTGAGAGGACCTTCCTCCCTGTCTCCAAATATCCTAATTCTTCCCATCCTTCAATGTCCTGCCCAAATGCCATGCCTTCCAAGAAGCCTCCCCTGACTCCTCCACTCTGAGTCCTCACTTCTCTGAAGAAGTCCTCCACAGCCCACTCACTCTGGGGTTCAGGGTCATTTCATTCAGTCGGCTGAAGCCTGTCTCCCGCTCGGAGCCTCTGGCCAACACAGGTAGGAGCTCATCACCCTGGAGCAGACAAAGAGGCCACTGGCACCAGTGTATGGCCACCCCTCCCACCACCCCATCTGCTCCCCAGAACGATATCCTTATTGCCCTCACAGGAGGACCTCCAGACAAGAGTGTCACCCAGGCCCTGATGAGCCCGCCCCAGCCCCTTCCACTAGCTCAACTCCAGCTTACATGAGGGTGGGTCATGGGAAGGAAGTCTGACTTGGTAACACTCCTGCCTGGGAGAAGAGTCTGGAAAAAAAAAAAAGCCCACCGAGGAGTGTAAGGTCAGGAGATGGCAGGATGGGCCTCTCACTCCCCCTGTTCTGAGTGAAGCTAGTTTTCCCCACCCTCCTCTGCCTCCAGAGGAATCCACAGAGGAGAAAAAACATCAAACCATCGCCCTGGAATCAGTTCTGACTCCTGGTGACCCAAGGAGTACACAGTAGAGCTGAGCTCCATAAGGTTTCAAGGCTGTAATCTTTAAGGAAGCAGATGGCCAGGTTTTTTTCTTCCCTGGCACCTCGGCGTGGGTTTAACCTGTTAACCTTTCTATTCATATTCAAGCACAAACCATCTGCACCACCCAGGGAGGGCTCAGTGGGAATGAATATAATTGGGGTAACTGAGGAAAGTTTGGGGAGAAAAGAGGGAAAGCATAACACTGACTGGAACCAGTAGGCCAAGGTTCTGGTCTGAACTCGTGAGCAATCTTGGCTGTACCTTCTCCTCTTTTGGCTGTACCTCTTCACATCTATTAAATAGGGAAGTTTCACCAAAACAGTGGGTTCCACCCATGACAACTGCTCTTCCATCTTGAGTTTGAACTAAGAAGCCTGAAACCCACCATTATGGAACATTTTGATCAAAGATTTTATAGAAGAATCCTGATCAAAAGGGGGAAATTTTCAAATGTCACAATCTTGTGGAATCTAGACTTTCTGGAGCCGTGGAAGCTGGATGAACCCCCAGCTATTGCCCTGAGATAATCTTTAAACCTTCAACCAAAAATATCCCCTGAAGTCTTCTTTAAGCCAAATAGCTTAGCTTAATCAGTAAAGAACCTCTGCCTTGAGTATCATGCTCTTTTAGGAACTATCCACATGGACTGAAATCAAAAACAGCTACTCAAAAGGTTAGATAGGAAGGTTAGGGCAGAGTAATCAATGTCATTGAACTGTAGAAATGGTCGAATTGGTGCATGTTCCGCTCAACAACAACAACAAAATTAAATAATAATAGTAATAAGCCAGAAGCCCCTAGACTGGAGGTCCTTCAGTACTCTGAGAGTCTAAGTGGGGCCCAGGCTGACTCACAGTGTCCCCAGGGAGGACCTGGGAGGGTGGCTTGAAGACAATGGGGTTCTTGGTGGAATCTTCTGTGAAGCCAGTCTCCTCCTTGGCGCCAATTGACTTCTTCTGCAAGAGATCTGCAAAAGACAGCCCCTGTGATCTTAAAAGCTTGCACGCGGCCGTCTAGATGCAATGATGAGTCTCTCCTCATCCAGAGCAAAGAAGAAGGAAGAAAACCATAGATTCATAGAAACAATTAGTCCAAGCGACTGGTAGACCATGCGCTCCTCAGCCTATACAACTATGAGACCAGAAGAACTAGATATTGCCCAGCTACCACTGTCAACCACTCGGAGTGGGATCTATGTAGGAGATCCTGGATAGAAAGGGAGACAAAAACTTAAATGTGGGACAAAACTTAAATCATTTAAAAAAAAAGAGAGAGAGAGAGACCAGGTTTGCTGGTCTGATAGAGCCTGATGAAACCTCTGAGACTATGGTCCCTAGCTGCCCTTCAGGTCTGGAATTGAACCTACTCCTGTGGCTTCCAGCCAAACAAAAGAGGGGTATATAAGTTCAACATTTACATTAGGTAGATACACTCCTTGGAGAGAAGATTCATGGGGGAATAGAAGGGCTGTGTGTGCACAGGGAGACAGCTCAGGGGGCAAGAGTGCATGGAGGGAAGGATACAGGGAGGAGGTAACTGGGGAGGAAGTGGGAAGGGAGCTGTTGCATTGTGGGAAATTATAATCGGTGTCATGAGACAAAGTGTGTGTGAGCTGCTGTATGGAAAGTGAATTTGCTCTGTAAACTTTCACCCAAATAACAATTAAAAAATATATATATAGTCCTTGTGCTGTGTCCAGGCCACCTGGCCCCACCTGACTGGAAGTGACCTGACTCTAAGGATCTGTAGACCTGACCCACCAGGATCATAGGTCCCAGGAGAGGACTCCAGAATCCAGGCCAGGGAACAACAGAGGAGGGTAGAAGGAAGGGTGGCATTCAACAGGCCAGAAGGCTGTGGACAGGCCCACACAGCCCCCTAAGCAATGAAGTTTCCTTCAAGGTTCAACAGCCTTAAGGCACAGAGGGCAGCCTGGGTTCTCCTAAGCTGCCTGCATGTCCTTCTTCCTTCCAGGGTACCTTCTTGGTCCTATGTCAGCTCCAGGTGCTCCTGGGGCCTCTCCTAGAGGAGCAGGGGGAGCTGCAATGGAGGGAGGCATGAGCTCAGACACGGGCCTACCTGGCTGGTTGGAGGGCTCGTTGACATACTTGGAGTTGTACTCAGACGTCATGAAGCGAGGGCCCTGGAACACAGACGGGTAGAGTAAAGACGGACACAAGGGAGACCAGGGCCTGGGGTGGGCTTGGTGGTGGTGGTAGCTCTTGGGTTGTCTGTTCCCCAAGCTCCCTTGCACTCCCTCCTTCTCTCTCCGATCAGCATCACAGAGCCATAAATTGCACCCTGAGGGTACAGCTCCCCTGTGATAATGAACGCCGAGTCACACCCACTGGGCTCCTGGGAATGAACAGCTGGACCCAGAGCCCCCCGGACCTAGATCAGGAGGGGCTCTAAGCAAGAGGGGCTTGGCTGATGGAAGAAGGTGGACACTCACATCACAATTCATTGACCTGAGCTTAGGGTCTCTGGCTGGGGTAGGGCAGAGAAGGAGGCTTGGGTTTTGTCATAAAATGTGTGAAAGGATGCCTGTGATGACCACTTTGATGCCGTTTTGGAAATGCCAAATATCAATCCTTTGCCCTCCCCCCATTTTCCGTGGTGTCCTGAGCCCACATCGAGTTGGCTCCGTGGATGACCCAATGCAGTCACTGTCTGGTGGAGCGGGAGGAGGCAGGCTGGCCCCTCTGCCCAGCCTGCAGCCCTTGGCCCTGGGTGCCCACTCACATATCGGGCGTTCTCCAACTCCATGGAGCCCTTGCTCTGTTGCTGATGGAGCAAGGGCACTTCCTTGGGCTCCAGCCCTGTGATGGCCTGGGCCCCGTGCTCCTGAGTGTCGAAATGGACCTTCCTGACCTGGCAGGAGGGAGCAGTCAATTACCATCCAGGGGGCAGGTGAAGGGATGGTAGTCATTTCCTGGTCCTGATTCTGCCCTTGACCCCTACAGAGCACCTCCGCTGTAGCCAGAGGGATCCCCGTCACAATGAAACCAGATCCCATCCAGTCTGCTTGGAGCCCTGCAGTACTCACGGACACTCAGGATAGATCCCAGGGCCTGACAATGATGCACAAGGACCTTGGCTCCTACCACTCTGGCCACTTGCCTCCTTGCTGTCCCTCCTCACACCAGACATGCTCCTACCTCAGGGCCTTTGCACTTGCTGTTTCCCTTGGACAGCTACATGAGTCACTTCCTAACCTCCCTCAAGTCTTTGTCAAGCATCACCACAGCAAGCTCTTTCCTGGCTCTCCCAGTGTGCGGTGGCAACCCTTCACTCCTGCTCCAGCCCTGCCTCTGCCCATGTGGTAGTTAAGGTTGTGTGTCACCTTGGTTGGGCCTGGTTTTGAGTGGCTGAGCAGCTGGATGTAGTTATTCCCCGTGGTGAGACTGGCAGTCAATTAACTCCATGGTGAAATCTACTGGAGCAGCTGAGTAACTGCTTTCGGGACGTGGTCTGCTTCCAGCACATAAGGACAAGTTTTGGGAATAGTCTCTAGTTTTTTGGCACACTTGGACCCTCCATGTAGCTGAACCTTGTTCATTCAGCACCCTGCCTGCCAGTCTTGAGACTGACTGTCTCTGGTCTTGAACTAGTGGCCTGCCATGTTGCTTGGTAATCTTGGGACTGTGCCATTTTACTTGTCCACATGGGGTTTGTCAGCCTCAGCAGCCAGCAGCTGCCTGAGTGAAGAGATGCCTCCAGCTTCAGTGGGCCAGGAGCAAGAGCCAGAGCTGAAGCCCAAGGTCAAGGGGCTTTCACCACCCCTAGAGCTGCCACTTTGAGCTTAGACTTCTAGCCTCCTAAACTGTAAGAGAATAAACTCCGGTTTGTTAAAGCCACCCATGGGTGGTATCTTCTGTTAGAGCGGCACTAGAGAACCAAGACAGCCCGGTTGTACTTTTTTCCCACCGTGCATCGCCTTCAAACATGGAAGGGCTGTCCCGAATATGCTGGAGGGAGTCAATGAATGAACGTCTGTTCTGTTGGTGACAATGCCAAAGATGGGACATGGTGATGGGGATGGAACAATGATGGTGGTGGTGAGGATGGTGCTATGGCCTTGGTGATGTCATTGGGGTGACAGAGATGATGGGATGGGAATGGTGGGGATGGTGGGGACCATGATGATGGTGATGGTGACAGGGATAGAAATGGAGGGGTGAAAAAAAAGTGGGGAAGGGGATGTCAGTGACAGTGGGGATGGGAATAAGGACAAAGGTGACAAGGGCGAGGGGACCTCCACATTGTGGCTTCTCCATGCCTGGTGGTGTCAACTCTGATGAACCATTAGCAGTGCAGTCCCATCATTCCCACTCCCATCCTGGGGCTCCCTGCTCTCTTGAAAAGACCCAGCACTGACCTCCTTGGTGGAGGGTCCCGTGTGAGGCCTCTCCCGCCCATAGCCAGAGCAGGTCTGGTGGATGCTCCGGGGCAGGGGACCCCTGCCGTCAGGCACCTCCAGTGGGCAGTAACTCTGATTGGTCACCGTCTGAAAATTGTTCTGGACTTGGTCCCTGGGGGACAGAGGGCGTGAGAGGAGCTAGGACCGCCAAGGCCACCTGCCTTTGCCTTTTGGGGGCTGCACTGCCTCTCCCCAGAAGCCTCCCCTCTCCCACAACCCTCTTCACGGGAGCTGCAGGAATCTGCCTGCATGTGGGCCCCATGCCGGATGCCTTGGCCTGAGTCACCCAGGGCCCTGGACCCAGGCCAGGCAGGCTCTGTGCCTGTGGCCCTTGGGGCCCATCCGTGGCACCCACAGTTGTTCTGAGGAGCTCTGACATGTCTGAGAGCTAAGTGGGGCCAGCGCTAAGGAGGATTGCACCAACCACACCTCTTGGCTGGATTGTCCAGGGCATCGAGACTGGCTTGGTACGAGACCAGGGGCCGGTAATTGGACTTGTAGCCTGTACCCACATGACTGCCCATCCGGGGCTTGAACTCCTCCCGACCTGCCAGAGAGGAAACAGGAGATGGGGCAAGGGGACCGTGGGTCAGCAGAATAGAGAGGAGTGGGGCTCCCTAGACAGAACCAGTATCCCCCCAGAGGATCCTGGAGGCCCCTGAGATGGGTGCAGAGCCATGGGCAGGGACAAGTGTGAGAGACCAGTGAAGGGCCCACCCTTCAGGATTATGACAAGAGGAAGTGGAATGGATCATGGGGACAAAGTCAGAACCCCAGTGGCAGAATCGGGGGGGACAGTATAGGGGATAGCCTGATGGCACTGTTGTGAACAGGTCCTTGAGGGGTTCAGGGATGGACTGATTCAGTGTCACGGGGGTCGCACTTGGAAGGAGGGGTCCCCTTCCTGGAGGTGGCTCCTGCCCCAAGGTGCCCTCACCATAGGCTGTGCAGTAGCTGGTGGCGTAGAATTTCAGAGGATCCGTGCAGCCCCCTGAACTCATCTTCACATAAGGGGAGACGACCCCCAGGGGCAGTTTCCCCATCATGATGCTGCAGGGTGGCCCCCGGAGTGGGGGCTGGGAAGAAAGCATAAGGGGCTTATCAGCCCAGCAGCACCCAATGATCAGCCCGTATATACGCTTGGCCCCTTCCCCCAGCACCCTGCTGCTCTGCACCCACAGCCCAAACTGAGGAGAGAACCCAAACCCATCACTGCCCTCCTTGTTCCGTCCCCATCGCCACGTCTCATCTGTCACCACCGTCCCACTCATCTCCTGTTCGTTCGTTTGGTCTCATTGCATCTTCTCTACATCTTAGTTAAGGAGGTCTAGTGGTGCAGTGGTTAAGGAATTTGGCTGCTAACAAAAAGTTTGGTGGTTCGAACCCACCAGCTGCTCCCCTGAAGAAAGATGAGGCAATCTGCTTCCATAAAGATTTACAGCCTTGGAAACCCAATGGGGGTCTCTATGAGTTGGAATCAACTTGACAGCAGAGAGCTTGAATTACACCTTATTAAGGAGCTCTGGTGGCGTAGTGGTTAAAGCACACAGCTGCTAACCCAAAAGTCAGTGGTTTGAACCCACCACTGCTCTGTGGGAGAAAGATGAGGCAGTCTGCTTCCATAAAGATTTACAGCCTTGGAGACCCTATGGGGCAGTTCTACTCCCATATGGGGTTGCTATGAGTCCAGACTGACCCAGTGGCAGTGGGTTTGGTTTCTGATTTATACCTTATTATTAACTCTTCCTATCCTATGAGTCAGGTCCTACTCGACGGCACATAACAACAACAACAACAACATCCTATTTTGTAAGGCGTCCCTACAGGTCACAAACGGTTAAGAGCTAGACCACGAGCCAGAAGCTTGGTGGTTTGAACCCACCCAGAGGCATCTTGGAAGACAGACCTGGTGACCTGCTTCCAAAAGGTCACAGCCTTGACAACCTGTTGGAGCAGCTGTACCTGTAACACGTGGGGAATTGACTCCATGTGTCAGACTTGACTTTATGCAAGTAGCAACAACGTCCCATGTGTTAGGGACTCGCTCATGGGAGGTGGCAGAGCCAGACTCAGACCCAGGGTACCTGACCCCTCAGTCCCTGATCTTAAACTCTACACACCTCCTCTCAGGGAAGGACTGAGTGAGGGGACAACTTCCTGCCCGTGGGAACTCTTGGTCACAGATGCTTACCCCCAACCGCCCATCTCTCCCTCAGCTCCCAGCCCCTTGCCTGCTCCCTCCTCCTGGGGCCCAACCGAAGCCGCCCCACCCTCACCTGCCCTCAAAGTAGCTCTGAGGCCTGGAGAGAGGCTGCAGGAGACAGGAGCCGATCCAGAAAAGCCAGGCTCTCCTGGAGAAAGCCCAGCCAGGAGAAACAGTGTGTTGCCTAGTAACCAGCGCCTAGCAACGGCGTCCTCACACTTCTGAAGCCCTTTCAGGGCCGCCCCAGGGGCTGACCTGGCCAGGTGGGGGGAGGGGCATGGCTCTGTTCCTGTGGCTCAGGCCCTGTCTCCAGCTTCCCTGGACAGGGCCTGGAAGAGTTGCTTTCTGAGTGACAAGAAATAAAAGGCAATCCTGAGCCATCACTCCCAGTTATTGAGCCTCTACTTGTCCCCACACACCTCACAGCCTTTATCTCCAGTCCTCCAACCAGCTCTTCAAGGCAGCGATTGTCCACCCTATTTCCATAAGGGGAAATGAGCTCCACACAAGCACCGGGACATGACTGGCAGACGCTGGGCCACTCAGAAGAGAGTCGGGATTCACACGTGAGTAGGATCAGACCCCACTCTATGCCTCTCAGTCAGTTAACATTTATTATGTTTGGTTAGAGGAGCTCTGGTGGCGTCGTGGGTAAGGCATTGGGCTGCTGACCAGAAGGTCGGCAGTTCAAACCCACCAGCCGCTCTGCGGGAGAAAGATGAGGTGGTCTGTTTCCATAAAGATTGACAGCCTTGGAGACCATAAATGGGGTCGCTGTTAAGTCTGAATGGGCTCTATGGCAGTTGGTTTGGAGCATGTTTGATTGTCACCAAATCTGCGCTGAGCACTTCCCATAACTGTAAATACTCTTCAAAACCACCCTGTGAACTGGGGAGCATCACGAGAGGGCTCATAACCCGATTTGCTGCCTTTGAAGACGTTCTTTTCCTCTAACAACCCCCCCTTCCTTACTTTAAGGGAGCCAGGTATCTGCACCGGCTCACTGGGCCGCTGGGAGAGCTCGTGACAGCCTGGGTGTTCAGCGCCTGGCATTAGTAAATGCTCATTTTTTAAAAGCTGCTCTTCTGAGGCTTGTGCGCATGGGGAAAGTGAAGTTCAAGGGCTCGTGGAGGCAGAGCCTGGACTTGAACCTAAGTGAGCCACCTCCACAGTCTACACCCCTCCTGTAGTTTGCCTGTGGCGCTCTCACTTGTAAATGTTGAACAGCTGGACTTCCGGGGGTGGAAAGGATGACTCCTGATCTGTGGTTTGAATATTCTCATCAAGGAAGCTTTCAAGCCACTAACACAGGATCACTGTATGGTGGTGGGGAAGAGGCGCTCCGTGGCACCCTTAGCTGGTACTTCCGTCTACAGATCCCAACTCTTCTGGTTCCCTAGTGCCTCTCTGACAGGAATATACCACAAACGGGATGCCTTAACAAACAAGCATTTATTCGCTTACAGTTTGGAGGCTTTAAGTCCAAGTTCAAAGTGCCAGGCTCTCGGGGCTGGGTGAAAGCTCCTCAACCTTGGCATCCAGCTCTGCCTCCTGCTCCTGGCCCACTGGAGCTAGAGGCATTTCTTCACTCAGCTTCTAGCTGCTTAGGCTGACAAACCCAAGGTTGACAAGTCAAAAGGCACAGTCCCGATGTTACCAAAGCACACAGCAGGCCATTACTTCAAGTTCATTGTAAGTCCCAAGGTCAACAGAGCATGGCAGTCTGCTGAACAACAACACAGCTACATGCAGGGTCCAAGCGCGCCATAAGCTAGAGACCATTCCCAAGGCTTTTTCTTGTATACAAGAAGCAGACCACATCCCAAAGGCAGCTACTCAGCTGCTTGTGGTAGATCCCATCATGGAGTTGATTGCCAGCCTCCTCATGGGGAATAACTACCACCAGCTGCCCAGCCACTCCACCAGGCCCAGCCAAGCTGACACACAAACCTAACCACCACACCAACCACGAGTAAGCAAAGAGCATGAAGGAAACTTCAGTGTAGCGCTATAGTAAGCACTTAGCTGCTAAGTGTAAGGTCGGTGGTTCAAACCCCCCAGCCACTCCATGAGAGAAAGGTGTGGCATAAAGATTGACAGCCTTGGAAACTGGTAGTTAAGGTTATGTGTCAACTTGGCTGGGTCTGGTTGTGAGTGGCTGGGCAGCTGGTGGTAGTTATTCCCCATGACTGGCAATCAACTCCATGGGGGACTCTGTTGAGAGCAGCCACCTTCGGGATGTGGTCTCCTTCCAGCACGTAAGCAACAGCTTGGAGGAAGGTCTCCAGACTTTCTGGCGTGCTTGAACCCTGCATGTAACCAAGGCATTGTTCAGCAGCCTGCCATGCCCTGCTGATCTTGGGACTTTATATGGACTTGAATTAGTGGCCTGCCATGTTGTGTAGTAACATTGTAACTGTTTGTACTTTGTACTTGTCAACCTTGGGTTTGTCACCCTCAGCAGCCAGCAGCTGCTGGAGTGAAGAAAGCCCCTAGCTTCAGTGGGCTGGAAGCAAGAGGCAGAGCTGAAGCCCAAGGTCAAGGGGCTTTCACCCAGCCTGGCACTTTGAACTCGGACTTCCAGCCTCCAAAACTGTAAGAGAATAAACTCCTGTTTGTTCGAGCATCCCATCTGTGGTACTTTTCTGTTAGAGCAGCACTAGGGAACCAAAAAAGGCAGTATTCACCCAAAAGGTAGGGGAGCTCACCCAGGGCAAGGGAAGATGAATGACCACCCCCGGGTGTGCATGGAGAAAATATCATGGATTCTGAGGGCCGACAGCATGGGTGGGCCTAGCTCTACTGCTGAGTAAGGCTTTGGGTATGTTACCTATGCCTCAGTTTCCCCTTCTGGAAAATGGAGGTGGTATTAGTACCTTCTAGTAGGGTAAGGATACACATAAAACAGCAGCCAGTGCCTGGCACACAGTACATGGCCTCTGAGAGTTAGGGAAAGGCCCTGAGGAGTGTATCTTTGAGTGCTCACTGCACACCAGGCAAAGGCATGGCCCAACAGGCATGAACAGAAACTCCACACAGCCCTGCCCTCTGGGAGCCCACAGTCCCCAGGCCATCTTAGACACAGCCAGGGTGATGCAGCCAAAGAAAGCTTCATTCGGAGCCAGAGGGATCTGAGCTCAAAGCCTGCTTCTGCTTCCTGCCAACTGTGTGGCCCTGGGCTTCACTCACTGAGCCTGGTTCTGTGCCTACAAGTAAGGAGCAGAGGTAGTGGTGACTCCGTGGTAGAAGGCTCCCCTTCCCTCCAGGGGGTCTGGGTTTGATTCCCGGCCAATGCATCTCATGAGTGGCCACCACCACCTGGCAGTAGTGTCCTGTGTGCTGTGATGCTGAACGGGTTCCAGGAGAGCTTCTAAATTAACACAGACCAGGAAGAAAGGCCTGGCATCTTCTGAAAATCAGCCGGTGGAAAACCTATGGCTCACAATGGTGAGACCCGCAGTCCGTCCCGGGCATGGTGCAGGACTGGGTAGTGTTGGTCCAGCTGTGCATGGGGTCTCCCTGCTCTGGGGCCACCCGATGGCTGCTAACAAGAAGAAGAAGCAAAGAACACATTGCCTACCTTGCAGGTCTGCAGGGTGAGCTCCGGTGGTGTAGTGGTTAAGGCATTTGGCTGCTAACCAAAAGGTCAGTGGTTCGAACCCAAGAGCCACTCTGTGGAAGAAAGATGAAGCAGTCTGCTTCTGTAAAGACTGACAGCCTTGGAAGCCCTATGGGGGTCACTATGAGTCTGAATTGACTCCATGGCAGTGAGATTGGTTTTTGTTTGACACAAAGTGCCCAGAGGGCAGTGGCCCCTGCAGAAGGCAGCAGTGAGGGAGGAGA